CCCAATTGATTGATATCCCTTTGTAATCTTAGATAACCTTCTTCACTATCGACTATAGCACCAATTTTGGCGTCATCCATAAACTTACTAACTATGCCTCCTACATTCTCATCCAAATCATTTATAAAAATGCAAAACAAAAGTGGACCCAACACCGATCCTTGCGGCACACCGCTGGTCATAGGCCTCCAGCCCAAAAAACAACTCCCTCCACAACCACCCTCTGTCTCCAAGCCAATTTTGTATCCAATTGACAAGTTCTCCTTGAATCCCATGCGGTCTTTACTAATTAGTCTACTATACAGAACCTTGTCAAAGGCTTTACTAAAGTCCATGTACACAACGTCAACACTCTGCCCTCATCGATCTTTTTCGTTACATCCTTAAAAATTTCAACCAAGTTTATGTGACACAATTTCCCACACACAATCCCCAGTCAGTCCTTACCTTTCCAAATGCATGTAAATTCTGTCTCTCAGAATCCCTTCCAACAACTTACCCACCCCTGATGCCAGACTCACAGGTCTATAGTTCCCAGGCTTCTCCTTACAGCCTTTCTAAAATAAAGGCACCACATTAGCCACCCTCCAGTCCTATGGCACACATGTGTGGCTGTAAATGATTTAAATATCCCTGCTAGGGGCCCCGTAATTTCTTCCCTAACTTCCCACAATGACCTGGAACACATTTGATCAGGTCCTAGAGATTTATCCACCTTTATGATTTTCTTAAGACTTCCAGCACCTCCCCTTCTGTAATGTGGACTGTTTTCAAGACATCACTATTGATTTCCTCGAGTTCCCTAGCCTCCATGTCTTTCTCCACAGTAAAAACTGACTTGAAATATTTGTTTAGTATCTTTCCCATCTCCTGTGGTTCCACAAATAAATGATCTTGTTGATCTTTAAGGGGCCCTATTCTCTCCCTAGTTGCTCTTTTGCTCTCAATGTATTCATAGAATCTCTTTGGATAATCCTTAACATTATATGTCAACACTATCTCCTGTCTCCCTTTTTGTCCTCCTGATTTCCCTCTTAAGAAAATGCCTCTATACTGCTTGCACTCTTCAAGAGATTCACTTGATGTCAGTTGTTTATACCTAACATATGCTTCCTTCTTGTTCTTGACAAGAGCCTCAATATCTTTATTCATATATTGTTCCCTACTCTTACCAGCCATACCCTTCACCCTAACAGGAACAGAATGCCTCTGAACTCTCGTTACCTCACTTTCAAAAGCCTCCCACTTGCCAGTCATCCCTTTACCTGTGAACAGTCTACTCCAGTCAACACTTGAAAGTTCCTGTCTCATACTGTCCAAATTTGCTTTACTCCAATTTTATGCCCTGTTTTGTTTCCCAAGAGAAGGTTAAGTTTTGTTCCTTCTCTAGGAGGTACATATACATCTTAATAAAGCGCATTTTCTTGAACACATTTAACAAATTCTTCTCCATCCAAGCCCTTAACACCATGCCATTCCCAGTCTATGTTTAGAAAGTTAAATCTCCTATGATTACAACCCTATTATTCTTACAATGTGAGATTTCTCCACATATCTGTTCCTCAGTTTCCTGCTGACTATTGAAGGGCCTATGGTACAATCCCATCAAGGTTATCATCCCTTTCTTATTTCTGAGTTCCACCCATATAGCTTCACTGGTCAATCCCTCAGGAATATTCTCTCTAAGTATTGTTGTGATGCTTTCCTTAATGCCACTCCCTCTCTTCTCTTGCCTCCCTTTCTATCCTTCCTATAGCGTCTAAACTCCAGACCCTCCTTCAGCCATGTTTTTGAAATAGCTATGATGTCCCAGTCCCTTGTTCCCTGAGTTCATCTGCCTTACCTGTAAGACCCCTTGCATTAAAATAAATAGCTTAATTCTTCGGAGTTACCTTGTTCTCTGACTTGTTCTTACCTGTCTTTTCTAATTAACTTTCTTTGTTTAACTTCAGAACCATCCTCATTTTTCTATTCTCACTACTATTTAGGAATCTTCCACACCTCTTTCCCACAGGTTTAATTGGCCCTGAATAACACTAGCAAATCTCCCCTTCTAGTTCAGGTGAAACCCATCCCTGTTGAGCAGGTCTCCTGTGCCCCACAAGAAATCCCAATGACCCAAAAATGTGAATCCCTGTCCCCTGCACCAGCTCCTCAGCTACGCATTCATCTGTCCTATCTCCCTGTTCCTACTCTCACCAGCACGTGGCACGATGAGTAATCCAGAGATTACTACCTTTGAGCTTCTGCTTTTTTAACCTTCTATCTAACTTCCAATATTCATTCTGCAAATCCTCAACCCTTTCATGAGCTTATCGTTCTTACCAATGTGTACAACAACTTCCAGCTTCTCACTCTCCCCTTTGACATATGTTGCACTGTTTTGAGACATCCTTGACCCTGGCACCAGGGATGCAACATACCATCCTGAATTCTCACTCATGGCCACAGAATCTCTTGTCTGTGCCCCTGACAGGAGAGTGTCCTATAGCAATTACTCTTTTGAACCTTGACAAAGCCCACTTAGCATAAGATTCATTCATGGTGCTCAAGATCTGGCTGCCACTTCTCTTTTCCTCTGAGGGACTATCCCCCTCAACAGTATCCAAAATGGTACAGCTGTTTGAGACAGGAATAGCCACAGGAAACTCCTGCACTACCTTCCTATCTCTCCTGACACTCACCCATCAATCCGACAGAAGCTAAATGTACTAATCTGTGCTTCCTGTATGCTCCTCAGTGACTCTAACTGCCTCTCCAGCCGATCCAAATGGTCTGTTATGAGATAGATATGAAACACACCTCCCGAAGATATAATCTCCAGAGACAGTCAACTGTTCCCTAATCTCCCACATCTGACAGGAGGAACATACCACTCCACTGACTGCCATAACTGCGCCTTAAAAATCTAATGTAGACTTACCTAAAAAGGTTCATGTCTCACACATTTCTCACATCCAGAGGGTGTAAACCAATTACTGCTGACATTCTATGCTGGAAGAACCTTTCATCCCAATTTTTGGGCAATGGCTTGTCTTAATGTTTTTGCTGATGTTGGCAACTCCTGTATACTCATTATTTGACAAAAACAGGAATTGCTGGAAAAGCTCAGCAGGTCTGGCAGCACCTATGGAGAGAAAGTAGAGATAATATTTCAGTCGAGTGACCCTTCCACACTCATCATTTATTTCCTGACTTCTCAAATTGCTACCTCTTATTGTCTGGAATCTTTGTACTTTTTTTCATTTAATCTCTCCCCACCCTCTGTTCCATCACAGACCTTCCCTTTTCATTGTCCTCCCTTTCTCCCTGGCTCTATACTTACTTGAAACCTGTTATGACTCAATTTCTAATGGAAAGGCTTTGACCACAAACATGATCTTTGTTTGTCTCTTCACAGATACTGTCTGATCTACTGAGTATTTCTGGCATTTTCTGTTTTACTTAAAATCCAGTTTCCAGCATGTGCAGTGTTTTTGCTTTTAACAGTATGGGTACAGCCTCTGATCAGAAATCTGATAAAACCTATTGAGTGCCAAAGGCTGGAACGAGACACACATTTATTTATGCACGACATCCTCTTTATGTTTGAGATGTGTCTGTGTGTTAGCAACTAAAGCCTTGAGGGAATGGTATCCTTCATGTCAGTGCAAGCCAGGACTATGAAGCTGTTCACCAAGATCACCTCCCACCAGCCCTGGGCAATGCCAGGACATTCATCTCAGCTAAAACAGTGTAGACGGTTATCATTAACCCCTCAACGTCCACAGCATAGGCAATTGAGTGGAAGAAATACCATTCATCTCAGTTTTAAATGATCTATCTCTTAGCTGTTTATATTGACACATGGGATGTGGGTGTCATTGGTTGGGTCAGCGTTTGTTGTCCATTTTTAATTGTCCTGGAGAAGGTGGTGGTGAGCTGCCTTCCTGAACCACTGCAGTTCTCATGCTGTAGGAGCACCTGCAATGCCCTTAGGGAGGGAATTCCGGGATTTTGAGCCAGCAACACTGAAGGAACAGTGATATATTTCCAAGTCAGGATGGTGAGTGTCTTGGAGGGGAACTTGTAGGGGGTGGTGTTCCTATGTATCTGCTGCCCTTGTCCTTCTATATGTTGATATCAAGAGATTAGAAGCTGCTGTTGAAGGAAACTTGCCAAGTTAGTATAGTGCATCATATATTTTATGAACTGGCTGCACCAGTGGTGGAAAGAGTGGTGAATGGGGTTACCAATCAAGTGGGCTGTTTTGACTTGGATAGTGTCAAGCTTCTGGAATGAATGATTTATTGTCACGTGTATTTTACAGTAAGAATACAATAAAATACAGTGAAAAGCTTTCATTTGTCACCACCATTCAGCACCATTTTGAATAGTTTAAGAATAAGGAAGAAAAGATATATCTTAAAGCGAGTCAATCATTTGTGAGCCAGCTTATCACCATCAACAAGGGCTGTGCTACTGTCCCTTCTCCACCGTTTCACCACCATCTACACCACACTCAAACAACAACTAAGTCCTCAGGTGCCATCTTTAGCCCCTAGGCCACTTCTCCTTCGCCACTACCTCACCACCAGCTGTGCCAGACACACCAATGTCAGACTCGCGTCTGTCACTGCTTGAATGTTGTTGGAGCTGCACTCACCAAGTCAAGTAAGCAGTATCCTATCAAACTCCTGACTTGTGCTTTGTAGATGGTGGACAGGTTTTGTGCGAACAGGAGGTGAGTTACTCACTGCAGAATTACTAGCCTCTGACTGACTCTTGCACTCTTAGTTCTACCGTAATTCTAAAATCTCCAGGAGAAACAAACTCTCCGCATCTACACTATCAAGCCTAGTAAGAATTTTAAAGATTTCAATTAGTTTGCCTTTCATTCATCTAAACTCCAGAGAATATAGGAACAGACCATTTAATCTCTCATCAAAGGGTAACTCTCTTGGTCCAGGAATCCACTGAGGGAATGTCTGCTGCACTTTCTGTAAGGTAAGGAGAGGGACATGCCGTATGCCTTCTCGACCACTCAATCGACCTGCGTGGCCACCTTCAGGGTACAATGGACCTGAACACCCAGATCTCTCGTGCATCAATTTTCCCCAGGGCGTTCACTGAGGAAAGGGACATGACGGCTGTTGAGGTTAGGGATAGATGTTTGCTTACTCTAGGTCAAGTCAGCATAAGGAGGGGGGAAGTGTTGGGTATTCTAAAAGGCATTAGGGTGGACAAGTCCCCAGGTCCGGATAGGATCTATCCCAGATTACTGAGGGAAGCGAGAGAGGAAATAGTTGGGGCCTTAACAGATATCTTTGCAGCATCCTTGAGC